CTTCCCAGCTGTGCAGGGAAGGGGCTGAGGTCCCCAGAGGTGCAGCTACTGTTCCGCATCACCCACAAGGGACAGAGCCAGGACTCAAACGTAGAGCCTGTGTGCTGAACTACAGGCCTGCCACTTCTGAGAACCTCCTGTATACAAAGCACTGCACAAATAAGGCTCACGTCACCCTTCTAATGCCTTTCAGTGATGGCATCCCTGTCTCATTTTGGAGGACAAGGGAAAACGAGGCCAAGATAGGGATGGGCCAGGCCAGGGTCACAAGGCTGAGGGGCTGGTTATCATTCCAAATGGTTGACGGGGAGCTCAGTTGTCTAAGTCACCACCCTCCTAAGCGCTTCTGTTTTCTTTTACCAAATCCCCACAAAGGGGCTTCCCTGGTGGCTCAGTGGTAAACAATCTGCCAGTGCAGGAGACATGGGTTTGATCCCTGATAGCAGAAAATCTCACGTGGTTGCGGAGCAGCTAAGCCCAAGAACTGCAACCGCTGAGCCCTCATGCCACAACTACTGAAGCCTGCACACTTAGACCCTGTGTTCCACAACAAGAGAAGCTGCTGCAACGAGAAGCCTGGGCACCACAGCTAGAGAGTGGCCCCTGCTTGCCGCAACTAGAGAAAAGCCCACGCAGCAAGTGAAGACCCAGTACAGCCAAAAATAAAATAAATAAATAATTTTTTTAAAAAAAAGTCATCATACTGGATTAGTGTCCCCCCGCCTCTCGTCAATTTCACGTCCACCCACCTGTAACCTGCGAATGTGACCTTATTTGGAAAAAGTCTTTATAGATGCGATCAAGTTGAGATGAGGTCATGCTGGATTAGGGTGGGTCCTTATAAGAAGAGGAAAATCTGGACACAGACATGCAGAGGGAAGGCAGCCATGGAAGATGGAGGCAGGGATTGGAATGTCTACAAGCCTAGGAACGCCGACGACTGCCAGCAACAGCAGAGGCTGGAAGAGGAGAGGCAGGATCCTCCCCCAAGGCCCTAGGAGGGAGCCCAGCCCTGCCAACACCTTGACTTCAGACTCACGGCCTCCAGAACTGCGAGAGAACATGTCTCTGTTGTTTTTAAGCCACCTAAGTTTGTGCTTTGTTATGGCAGCCCCAGGAAACTAATACAGTGGGTGAACCTCGAGTTTCCATTGTACAGATGAGGAAACCAAGGCAGGGAGGGGTAGACTGGTTTGCCTGATATCACAGAGCTAAGAGATCCCGAGGCTGAGGTCCAGTGTCTCTCTGGGGATGATGGACCATCTGCAGATTATCCTACAAGGCCTGTCTATTGGAAGTCCCCCAGGATGCTCGGGGCAGGCTCAGTGGTCCCAAGACCTCGGGGACACCTGGATGCTCCCTTCCTGGGCTCCCTGAGGGAGGGGCCAGAGCTGGCTCATTTCTGGTACCCTTGCCCAGCACAGGGTAAAGCACTGGGTTGATGTGAGTGATGGGTGGGAGGATGGGTGGGTGCCGTCTGCCTCGGGCACAGCTGGGTTTGTGGTACTTTCCTGGTTTCTGAGGGCTGGGGGCCTTGGAACTGCCCCCCCACCCCACATCCCCGCTCACTGTGGAGAGGAGTCCTGGGGGCTGCCAGCACCTGCCCCCCTGCCCCGACCCCCTCCTGCCGCCTGGAACATGCTGCCTTTAGCAGCCACCCTGAGCGGTAATTGTGCAGATTGCTGTAATTCACGGCGGACGAGCGCACTGGTGCTCGTCACATTATCAGAAATGTCACTGAGCAGGGCCTCGGCATGCACCGTCCCCCGGGGGGACTCGCACACCACCGTCTCTGTGGGCTGGGACTCAGGATGAGATCACTGCCGTCCCTGAGGACCCAACCTTGAGACGGTGGGGCGCACTCCTGGCTCAGCCGATGAGTCATCCCCAGCCGTCCTCCCAGCCCCTGGGTCTGCCCTTCCCAAAGGGAGAGAGAGGGCCACGCAGCCAACTCCCTGTTCCCGGGCAACAGGGAGGGAGCCAGGGATGGGGTTGCCATGACGACAGAAGACGCAGCTAAGGCTGGCGGCCCTGGAATGTGCACGTGGAGCCCCTCACGGCCCTAGTGGTGGTGGTGGGGGGTCCCCTGGGGCGATACCACTGCCAATGGCTGAGATATCAGGGTCTGATGTGTGGTTTTAAAAAAGCATGCAATTCTACACAAATGTTCACAACACACTAGGCACAAGAGCTCATAGGTGGAAACAACCCAAGCATCCATCAACTAACGGACGGATGGATAAACAGAATGTGGCATGTCCATACGGAGGACTACGACTCAGTCATAAAAAGGGATGAAGTGCTGACACAGGCTAGGACAGGGATGGACCTTGACAGCATGATGCTGAGAGGAAGAACCCAGATACAAAAGGGCATTCACTATATGACTCAATCCATGCANGACGGATGGATAAACAGAATGTGGCATGTCCATACGGAGGACTACGACTCAGTCATAAAAAGGGATGAAGTGCTGACACAGGCTAGGACAGGGATGGACCTTGACAGCATGATGCTGAGAGGAAGAACCCAGATACAAAAGGGCATTCACTATATGACTCAATCCATGCAAAAGTCCCAAACAGGCAAATCCACAGTGACAGAAAGCAGACTGGTGGACACTGAAGGTTGTCAGGGCTTGGGGGGATGGGGAGTGGCTGCTAATGGGTACAGGGTTTCTGTGTGGAGTGATAAAAAGTTCTAGAGTAATGGTCACACCATACTGGGAATGTATGTAATGCCACTGAATCATACAGGTTAAGATGGTTAAAATGGTAGATCTGATGTTATGTGTACTTCACCAAAATTAAAGGTGGGGGAGAAAAATCACTCATTTTTCAGATAAAGTCTCTGTTTCACCCCACGATGAAATCCATACCAGAAATGACAAAATAAACACAGAAGCAAAGGGGCACACGGCCCCCTAGAGGGGCTGACAGCACCCGCCGTGCCCTGGCAGCTAGAGACCATGCCCACAGGCCCCACTAGTGCCCCGCTGAGATGCTGAAGGCAGGACCTCCCCCATGGCAGGAAGCGTGACTGCTCCTCTTGTTATCCACGATGCTGAGGGCCAGCTGGGCCCTTCCTCCTGCTCCATCTCACCTGACGGCTGGGAGCTTGGAGGAGGGAGGTCTGGAGCCTCCAAGGGGCAGGGTACCTTGGACAGGAGCCCTGAGGGGAGGGGCTGGGACCCAGGTGGAGGGCCTGACCAGGTCTGGGACTGTCCCTGGTCAGTTTCTCTCTTCTTTCTTTCAATTTTTACTGGACTAAAGTTCCTTATAGGAGTTTCCTTGGTGGCTCAGTTGGTCAAGAATCCACCTGCAATGCAGGAGACCCGGGTTGTATCCCTGGGTCGGGAAGCGCCCCTGGGCGCTACAGTCCACGTAGCTCAGTCACATCAAACCACACCACCACATGGTTGCTTTACAATGTTTCTGGGCACCCGTGTTGAATTGCTTGAATTGCTTCAGTGTTCGACTCTTTGGGACCCTGTGGACTGTAGCCCACCAGGCTCCTTGGTCACGGGATTTCCCAGGCAAGAATATTGGAATGCGTTGCCATGCCCTCCAGGGGATCATCCCAACCCAGGGACTGAACCCGGTCTCCTTAAATGCAGGCAGATTCGTTCCCACTGAGCCATTGGAGAAGCAATCTGGGTTACACTCCACTGTACAGCAGCTGTGCCTATACACACATCCCCTCTTTTTTGGATTTCCTTCCCATTTAAGCCTTCACGGAGCAGAGTAGAGCCTGAGCTATACAATACGTTCTCATTAGTCATCTATTTTATACATAGTACCAATGGTGTATATATATCAATCCCAATCTCCCAATTCATTCCACCACCCTCTTCCCCCCACCTTGGTGTCCATATGCTTGTTCTCCACATCTGAGTCTCTATCTGATCAGCTTCTGAAACACCAGGACCAGACACTCAGGTCCCTCGGCACCCCTACCTGGGGCGAAGGGTGGAGGCAGGGCCCTCAGCCCGCAGTCTAAGATCTCAGCCTCCAGGCCCAGCTGTCCTTGCACATGACCACCCCTGTGCACCTGGGTCCCTCATTAGAACGACCATTTGTTCCCTCCCTGAGTCACGACCTGGCGCTCTGGGCACAAAGATGCTGCACGTGAGCAGTGGGGCCTCAGAAGGACCTCGGGGACAAGAGCTGGGGGGCGGGAGGGAGGGGGGGGCCCAGATCATCAGCCCAGGATCCTGGCCATCCCTGGCCTCTGCTCCTTCCTTCCACATTCACAAAACAGCCAGAAACGAGACCACCTCTCAGGGCTGGGGTCAAGATGAACGAGAGTGAGCCTGTGAATATGGCTCAGATGCACCCCCCTCTGACCCTGCCAGCCTCAGCCTTCCCGTTGGCGCAGCATTAGTCTGACGGCCCCCGAACATCTCCCAGAGATGGGGGCCAGGGAATCGACATCGACACAACCCCGACAGTGCCTGTTACCTCTGGCTTCTCTGGGCCCATCTGGACACCCCTCCCATCTTACAGATGGGGAAACTGAGGCTCGGAAACAGTCCACTAAGCGGGGGAGGCAAAGGCCCAGCCATTCAGGCTCTAATGAACAATGGGGACACGCGGATGGCTTCCACGGAGAATGGGGGTCGGCATCGCAGCACAGGGAGACGGCACAGCTGACGGGCTGACACCGTGACCCCACGGTGGTGGATACCAGCAGCCTCTGCCCTCCCCCGCCAAGGCGCCTAGGAGCGCTGCCACCACTCTGTCTATAAGGCCATGATGTGCTGGCCCCAGAGGCCACAGACACGGTCCCCCACAACATGGTCACACAGACCCATTTTCTGGAAGACAAAACCGAGGCTCTGAGGAGACGAGGCCAGTCTGAGAACACCCGGAAGCAAAGCCTGGCCCCTGCAGACCACACAACAGCCCCAATAAGGGCACGTGTCAACCTCCTCCTCACCACATGAGCTGCAGGGCCTGCACACACATCGAGGGTGATGACAGCGGCCAGAAACCACTCACCTTTCTTGGCTGTCTCCATCTCTTCTTCCGTCCAGCGAGAACTCTCATTCATCTCCATGGAAGCTGAAAAGGAAGACAACAAGTGTGTTGGCAGCAGTCCGCAGAGGGGCGGTTTCTCTGCCTCTGGCAGCTTGGGGCACCTGCTGGGATGGGGGTGTGTGTGTGCAATCACCCCATTTCACAGATGGGGAAGCTGAGGCAGTCCACGGCCTCTGCATACACCTGGCAGAGCTTGATGACCGCGTGAGGGTGGGGAGGTGAGGAGGGACACGAGCTTCAGATGGGCAGGGACCTCATCTGAGCGTGGACTCACTGGGGCCGGATGAGTCTCTGTGGAGAGGGCCGCCCCAGATGTTGCAGGGGCTTGAGCAGCAGCCCTGGCTTCTACTCAGCAGGGGCTAGGAGCCCCCACTCCAGCTGGGACAATCCAAAATGTCCCCAGACATGGCCCCCTGTCCCCTGCTGGGGGACCTTGTTCTACAGGGTGATTATTAGACTCTGCTCCGACCTATATAGCACACGGAGGAGGCGGTTCGTGTTGCTGAGAAGTAAGGCAGCTGCCTTCGGGGAGCTGGCCAAGGGTCTGCTATGGCTGTTTCTGAGCCTCTCCTCCGAGATCCCCTACACGTGAGCCCAGGTCCTTCCCTGAAAGTTGCTTAAGACGCCGTGAGAGGGGTGAGCATGAGGGACGTCAGCTTCATGGACCTTGTGCCTGGAACAGCACCAGGAAGGCCGCTGACCCTCCGGGGAAAGTTCGGGCAGCTTCCCTGGCTCCCTGCTGCCACGACCAACTTCCCCTCCCCCTGCCTACAGGACCCCCAGAGGGATGCTCTGGAAGCCGGAGCCCAGGATGGGGAGCCCATCAGAGGGACCAGGCTTGTGTTTTCCACCACCCAGCCCCAACATCAGCTTGAGGTCCAAAAGAATGACCCTAGAAGTCAGGTCCACCAAAACCCTTCTGAAAAGAACCCTCCTGCCCCGAGCCTCCCCGCATGCCAGCACCAAAGGGCAGCCGGCAAGAGCTTACAGGAGTCAAATGGGATTTGTGGCCAGTGGGCTGGGTTTGAATCCCAACTGACTCCATGACTTTACGGAGGCAATGTCCTCTCTCTCAGGCTCAAACAGCCCATCTATGAAATGGGTACAAATGATCTCTCTCAGGGAAAAGGGCGAGGAGCCTGGCACAAACCTCGGGTGTGGACAAGGAGGGCATCTGTGAGACAGAAACCATCCCTTCCATCAACTCTCACCCTGGGAAGACATCCAGACGGTTGGGGCCTCAGCCTGAGCACTCAGGCCTCGGGTCCGGGTTCCCGCAGATAGGAGAGGGCAGGCTCCAAACAGCCAAAATGGTTCAGACAAGCACGCGCCGGCTGCCCCCCTGTGGCCAAACTTGGGAACTGCTAAGCAATTCTTTTTCCCCCACCTTAGGTTCAGAGCACCTGTGGGTGGGCACCCGTTGAGCAGGAGAAACTGAGGCCCACAGAAGTGACGGTACAAACCCAGATGCCTCCCAGGGCTGGCAGGGACAGCAGCACTCAGGCACTCTTGAAAAGGGGTGGGTTTTTTGGCCATGCTGTGTGGCTTGTGGGATCCTAGTTCCCTGACCAGGAATTGAACCCCAGGCCCCTGGCAGTGAAAGCCTTGGGAAGACTTGAGGGCAGATCTTCTGATTGAAAAACAGAACCAAATTGGTGCTCTGGATTTGTAGGTGAATTCTCCAGCTCTGGAAGGATCACAGCTGACAGCCAGCGAACCTGCCCCAGGCGCTGTTCTAGGCTCTTCCTACACAAAAAGTTGCTGAAACGCTCAAGCCCACAGTTACAGGCATTACTCACAACTCTGGTGCTGATGAAGCCACCAGGGCACAGAGAGGTCAAGGAACTCACCGCAGGTCAAACAGCAAGTTTGCAGCGAATGTTGGGATTCTGAGCCCGCTGGGCCTCAGTGCCCCTTCCCCAGCCCAAGACTCACCCAGCTCAGCACTCTGCTGCGGCGTGACGGCCTCCTCGCTGTTGGCTTCGTTGGCCATCGAGCGGGTGATGCGGCCTTTGCGTCTCCCCTGGCTGTTGGCGGTTTTTCGGCCTTTGGAGGTCACTGCCTCCTTCTCATCGTTGTCTTCCCCAGAGGTGTCGTCCGTCTTCTCCCTAAAGTCCAGAGAGGGGAGACGGGGATGGTTTCAGCTGGGCCAGGAACCTAAATGGCAGCTTCAAGAGACCCGCTTTTCTTTAGCAAGGTGAGCGCTGGCTGCCAGTGATTTTCTACTAGTCAGGGAGTGGAAAAAAGGGGGAAAGCTCAGGGTGACGCAGTAGCAATCTGCAAGGCTCCTTTATTCACCAGATTGAGGGAATGAGGCTGGTAGAGGTCTGCAATGCCATCTTATTTATCACAAGGGAGGTGAGAGCTGGTAGCTGTCATCTGCTTTATTCTCCTAACAGGGATGTGGGCTGGTAGGTAACTGATTGGCTTATTTTATTCATCCAAAGTGGGTATGGGCTGGTGGCTATCTGCAAACCCATTTTTTAAAAAAATATTATTTATTTGACCAGGGTAGGTCTTCATTTCTCTAAGGGCTTCTTTCTAGTTGTGGAGAGTGGGGGCTACTCTCTAGCTGTGGTGCTCAGGCTTCTCATTGCCGTGGCTTCTATTGTTGCAGAACACGGGCTCTGGGGCACATGGGCTTTCAAGAGTTGTGGCTCCTGGGCTCTAGGCTCATAGGTTCAGTAGCTGAAGCGCACGGGCTTAGTTACTCCAAGACATGTGGGATCTTCCCAAACCTGTGTCTCCTGCACTGGCAGGCGCATTCTTTACCACTGAGCCACCAGGGAAGCCCTGCAAGCCCATTTTATACATCAACTAGAGATGCTCTCTGCTATCCGTTTGCAAGATTACTGGATTAAATGCATAGGGGTGCAGGCTGGTACACCCTTCAGGTCACTTTACGCCCCAAACAGCATATGTCCTCCTACAAACAATGCTAACTTTGCCTTCTGTGTTATCATGGGCCACTGGGTCTTGCAGAAAACGCGAGAGGAGAGTATTCTGCCGGCCTGATGCAGGCTGAGTCAGGTGTGTGGGGAGCATGTGACCTCAATAGCTGGGGCTGGGACTTTTCTCAAAAGCCGACTCAGGGGAGTTTACTGCAGGGCGGCTCAGATTTATCACCACCGCCTTCCATTCATCTTCCTGAGGCCCTCGCAGGAGCGTCTGGGAGACAGGGGGTAACGAAGCCAGATGTTCTCAGAAGCCACATTCCTGAGCCCGCTCCAGGTACCTGGCGCTAAGCTGTGCCCGCCCCCCCTCACCCCTTGCTCAGAGTGAATCTCCAGCTGGCGGTGCTCCGCCCCTGGCAGGCACGGGAGGCCGTCAGGGGCCCCGAGGCGAGGCTGTGCCTTGATCTGCAAGAACTCACACTGACAGCGATAATTCTAAAGGTGAGGGCTGCCGCCTGCGTGTGCCTCGTCCTCTCAGATCCACCCCCCTCCCGCTCTCAGCATCTCAGGAGACTCAGCCGAGGAAAGGGGAGGAGATGGGGAGGTGGGGGGGCCAGGCAGAGTTCCAAAGTCATTGCCTGGATTTATTAGCTCAGGAGTAGAGCTCAAATGAGCCATCAGTCTCTAAGGTCTCCAGAGGCTTCAAGAGAAGGGGCGGGCGGGTGGAGGGAAGAGAGAGGAGCAGGCTTCCGGAAGGGGGGCGTGCTGCCAGGGGACTGGCAAAGCAGAAAGCGCTTCCCTTCTCAGCAGGCGATCTGCTGTAGATAGACTGCAAATGCTCACACACCTTTACGGAGGGCGGGTGGCCTGCAAGCTGAGTACCGACCACGGCCCCCCTGCCCGCCTGCCCGCCGGCCACCTGGGGGTCGTGGCCAGGCCCCTCGCAGGGCGGCCGGGCTGGCCTTACTTGATCAGCTCCTCCTTGTCATTCTCCACGTCGGGCTTCTCCTCCTCCTTCTCCGCCTCCTTCTCCTTCTCCTTCTCATCTTTCTCCTCCTGGCTGCTGCGGGGCATCTGCTGCTGCTGCTGCTGCTGCTGCTGCTGCTGCTGCCAGGCCCCAGGGGAGGGTGGGGGGCGGTGGGGGAGAGAGGGAAAGAGTGAGGCAGGTGAGGCTCTGCACCTTGACTGAGAGCTGGAGGGGACGGGGAGTCTGGGGGAGCCCCCCTCTCCAACACCTGCAGTGTGAGCTGGGCAGAAAGCCCCATGGTCTGGGGCACTGGGAGGCAGGAGTCAAAGGGCAAGGTATAGAAAGTGCTTGGGTCAGACACCTGGCCTTTGGCACTTGGTGACTGCGTGACCTTGGATGAGGGTCTTAACCTCTCTATGCTCCAATTCTTCCCTTTGAAAGCATGCCTACCCCTAAGCCAGGCATGGGGAGGCTCAAATGAGAGCATGCTTAGAGTTGGCATCTGGCACCAGTATTTAAGCGCAGTGGGAACCCCAAGGCAGGAGGGTGGGGCCCTGGTCAGATTTAGGCAAGAGCAGGGTGAACACGAGGAAACCTGGGTCACAGCCTGAGCCCCCTGCCTGCCTGCCTGCCCCGGACAAAAGCTCAGGCCAGCTCTCCAGGCCTCAGTCTCCACGTCTGTAAAATGGGTAGATGGAAGGGCTATCCCCAGGCCCATTTGAGGATGGCTGCTTCTATGATGAGGGCCTGCTTTTACTGCCGTGGGCCTGGTCTTCCTCTCCAGTCAGTCAGCCTTGAAGGGGAAGAGAGCAGGCCCACTGGACAGTGGAGATCAAAGGGGCTCACAGCAAAACCAGCCCCCTTCCTGCAGGCCTGTTCCTTTCATCTCCTTCCCGAGTGACTGAAGCCGGCGCTGGCCAACCTGCCCCAGTCAGCCAGGCTGCTGATCCTGCCCTCACCAAGACAGGGAGGGCGGGCGAGCTCCTCCCCACACTGCCACACGCAACTTCCTTTCTGTCCTGCCTTATTTCTTTTAAGCCACACACTGATTCTCTTGGCCACCCCCAAAGTGCTCCATGCGGGCAGCTGCTAAAGCAGACCATCTTTCCATCCCCCTGAGTCAATGAAATTAAAAAAAAAAAAAAAGAAATGCACAGCCTTTCCATGTGTGCTAAGGGGTGTGGTCACACCAACATTTAAACCAAAGAGAAAGAAACCCAAGCAGATGGCGAAGATGAGGGCATAGGGCAGGGGGCTCCCTTTCTCCCCATCTTTCCTCCACACCAGGAACACACACCCATCCCCAGCACAGGCTGCCTTGGCCTGAGACCCCACCACCCCCAATCCCCGGGCCCTCCTCTGTAGCTTTAATTTATGATTCATGATGCGGCTGAGCACAGGGGCCAGCTACAGGTGATCTGTACAGAGCAGGGGTCTGGGTAATCATGGGGAACTGTGAGCTTTCCGAGACTGCAGCAGTGTGAACCCAGGAAGCTCCTGGCTTGGGTCTGCCCCCCTTCCCCAAGAACCTCCCTCTGATCTTCAAGAGGAGGGGCAAGGGGGCAGAAGAGCCTCCCTCCGACCCCTGCAATGTCGCTGTCAATTCCCAATGGGTGGCCCAGTGTCCTTGAACTAGCTTGTCCCTCACTACCACCCCAAACCCTGAAACACTAAACTTCCAACTGCTGGGGAGATGGGGGAGGCGGCAGGGACCAGGACCCAGAGCGAGGGGAGATGGCATGGCCGACTGGGGAGGGACCCTTGCCCCATGGGCTGCTTGGCATGGCTGCTGTCTCCACCTGTGAGACCTGCCTGGCTTCTGCACACTCAGGAAGCTGATGCCCAGGGCCCGGAAGGGCAGGGCCGGGGCTTTCCAACCTCAGGGAGCTTGATGTCTCCTGAAACATCATTGCTGGACTTCATGCCAAGAATGCCCAACTGGGCTGTAGCTTCACTGCGAAGCTTTATCTACTGTCCCAGCAGTCAACTCCAGGAGCACCTGTCATTGTTCCCTGGGTCTAGGCTGGGGGCGGTGTCTTCAGCCCCCGCTGGAATCTCACCCTTGGGCCACAAAGCAGGCCACTGTCTGCCCCCAGCACGGCAGAGGCAGCTCCCGAATCGCTGACCCAGTCGGCAGCGTGCCACAGACCCCAGCCCTGCACTAATACAACACAACTGACCGGGACTGCTCCCAGGAAGTCTGTTCCTGTGCCCTCTTGCCCAGGGCCCTCCTGACTCAGCCCTCCCCCACATCCTCCAAAAGCCCCACTGAGGAAGAGGCCAGCACCTTCCGCGAGCTCACTACCCACCTGATGCTGTGCTATGCAAGGTCTATTGATCAATTCCCGGCCCCTCTGAAGTCCTGAGGATAAAGATGATGAAAAACCAACAGTAATGGTGACCTGGGGTTCATCCACCATGGCCGCTCCTTTCCTGGACCACGCCTAATGCCTTGCAAATACTGTCTCGTTTACTCACCTAGCCTACCTCTGTCCGGAAAGGACAGGGACCACTGTTCCCATTCTGCATAAGAGGCAACTGAGGTTCAGACAGGCAAAGTCTCACTGTCTCAGAGGGAGGGAAAAGGGGACTCTCAGAGAGGGGGAGTAGGCCTGATCCTATCATCCCCAAAGCCCCTCTGAGGGTTTCACCTGACCCTACACCCTGGTTGGCATCAGGTGGGGCTTCTATGGGCATCCTTTCCCCTTTTCATCAAGGCTACCTTGTTCCTCTTACAAGATTCCTCAAGCCTCCACCTGGGCCTGGGCCAACCCATAACCACCCGTTCCCCTGCATAACCATCCACATCACAGCAGTAATAATAAAAACAGCTCCGAGTGCCCCGTGCCCGGCACATGTTTTATGTACTTCCTGATCTCCTTTACCAACCCCCGTCTCACTCCCATTTTACAGAAGACGACACTGAGGCACAGTGAGGGTGCCTGACAAAGCTGGGCAACAGCAACGGCAGGATTCAAACCCAGAGGATGAGCTGACCCTGGTCACAACCAAGCCCCTCTCCTGTCTTCTCCACCACGCCACCCCAGCCCCTGACCTCCCCAACCCTGCCAGTCTCGGGGGAAGCTCTGAAATCCTGATCCGCACCAGAACCTGGTCATGATTCCTGTTGCCTCCCACCCTGGTGTGCAATCCCAGTGCCAGATCCTGTGGCCTCCAACTTGACACTCTTATGAAGCCCCCCAGGGCAGGGGTGGGTGACTCCCACATCCCATCCTCTGGGAGAAGTAACTTCAGGGTCACTCTGGAGCCAGGGCACAGAGCCCTGTGGATGGGCTCCAGGTTTCCTGGGGCCTGAACTCCATCTTCCTCTGAGGAGGTGTCCCTGTACCCCAAACTGAGTGATGAGAGTGGAGGGGGTAAAAGAGAGAAACCCCAGGTCAGTCCCGGCCTGAAACCTGGTTTCCACTGGGAGGGACTGTCAGGCACAATAGTGACCAGTTGCCTGGGACATGTAGGAGGTCTGCGGGCTGGCATCCACTCACTCCGGGAGACTGATGGAGCCAGAGGGAGGCCGCAACTCCCAGGTCCCCATCAACCAGCTCAGTCCCTGAAAGCCTTCGAGGACAGCAGACACAGCAACAGCTAATGCCGGGACAATTCACACCTACCAGAGCTCTGCTTCTAATCTTAGGCCCATCATTGATCGAAACTGCACTTGCTGGGTTTCACGGGCAATTCAGAGCCACTGTTCTCACAGCTGCACACTCGGGTCACCGGGGGAGCTCTGGGAAGTCCCAAGGCCCAGGCCCCACCTACACCAGTCATATCAGGACCTCAGGGTGACAGCCTGCCATCAGTGTGTTTAAATTACCAGGTTATTCCAATGGGCATCTAGGTTTGACGATCAGCAAACTTTTTCTGTAAGAGCCAGATGGTAAACACTTTAGGGCTGGCCATCGGTCCATCAGTCTCTTTCGCAACTACTGACTCTGCCATTTATAGTGTGAAAACAGCCAAAATGTAAACAAGTAAACATGGCTATGTGCCAATAAAATTTTATTTACAGAAACAGGTAGGGGGCCAGATTTGGCCTGGGGGCCATAGTTTGCCCATCCTCTGTCCCTGACAAGCACTGTTCAAACGGAAATGCACACACAAACCACCTGGGGATATTGGAGAAATGCAGATTCTCACTCAGCATGCCTAGAGCAGGCCCTGAGAGTCTGCATTTCTAAGTAGCTCCCAGGGACACCCCCCCTCCCCGCCCCTGCCCAATGCTGCTGGTTCCTGGACCACACTCTGAGGAACCAGGCTTCTGGGGCGGGGGTGGGGGGTGGTCCTTGTTTCACAAAACACACCCAGGACCCTTGCCACTAACAGCTGGTGATGCCTGTGGACCCGGGAAAAGAACCGGAAGCCAGACTCCACCATCTCAAACAATTCTGGAGCCCACGGTGAGGTCCACCTTTGCTTTCCAGACACGCCGTCGGTCATGCTGACAATGGGCTTCTTGCCCAGGGCTTGGTCGTGAACACCACCTCCCAAACCACAGCACAGCTCTGTGGAAAACCCGACCGGATTGAGGGCTAGCCAGAGCTCTCAGTTCAAATCCCTGAGAGACCCCTGCTTACCGAGCGCTGAGTGCTGGACAAGTAGCCCATCACCAAGTCTGTGCTATGCTAAAGCCCCAGACCATAAGCAGCGCAGAAAACATTATGAATAAAAGCAACAAATGCTGACGAGGCACAACAAACATGTCATGAGGCCTTCTCCTCAGTTCATACCTGTAGTAATAACTGCCTCCCAACAGTCTGTTTCACAGAAGATCACACAAAGACACAGAGAGGTTAAGTAGCTCACCAAAGGTCACACAGCATTTTCCCAGCAAGATCCCACAGACAAGTGCTCAGCCTCTCACCCTGGACTGGGGGAATCACAGGCTCCTCTCACTCTCGTTTAAGCCAAAGTGTGCCTACTCCCCTTGTTCATTCCCTCCACAAACACACTGTGAGCCCCCACGGTGAACACCAAGTCACAGAAAGTACTGTCCCCAACCTCACGGAGCTAGCACTTCAGTTGACAAAGACAAGGAATTATGACAGGACGCATGGAGGCTGCAGTGTTAAGAACATTTTTAAAAGTTCCAGCACCTTGCAGAGGCAACAGCGATTTACCCTGA